ATAAGATCTTTAATCCTCTGTCTCTGACCTCACAGAATATGGGGAATCAGAATTCTACCTACGGAAAAATAGACAAACAATACAAGGCAGTGGATGTGGGTTGTGGAGGCAAGTGGGTTTCATGAGCCAATTTAGGGCAGGTGGTAGACTTGTCCTAGAGGAGAGCTTTTTTCAAAAGAGGTTACCACAACAGGATAAGTAGAGAAACTGGTCAAAGGTGAGAGGAATTGGGGCACAGTATGCGCTGGTAGGCAATAACATAAAATCATCTTTATAAAGGAGGTGTGTTGAGGAGTTTTGGTGGCTTGGAAAAGTTAGGTGATGAGAAAACCTCCCGGGGCATTGGGGAGCTTCGAAATAATGTGGGCTGCTTTTTCCCAGTTGTGCATGCTTGGGTAAGGTGCTAATCTTACTGGGGCTCAGTTTTCCTGACTATACATGGGGTCAGCAATATCTTCTTTGTTGTGTTTTCTCAAGGATTAAATATAATGTATGCACAAAGTCTGGATATAGTAGGGCCCAGGAGTGGCAGCCATGGTTATCTTATCTGCTAGGCTGAATGGAAAACAGTCTCCTCTCAAGGAGCTGCTGATGTAACCTGCCAAATACTTCACAGGTAAGAATCACAGTTACTGATTCAGACCATCTGGAATTTCTAAATCAAAGATATTTGTAAAACTTTCAGGATGGCATAAATTTTTGTAATTTCATTTTTTTTTCCAAATCACTTGAAATTATCAGAAATATTCTAAAGTCATCCGACTAGCAATTTGGTGACATGGTATGGAGTTTATAATTTTGATTCAAAGTCCCAGTTCTGGGCGTATCCCTTTATCACCACCAACATATGAGGGTTACCTACATCCAACTGAGGACCACACACCTGATAAGGATCGACATATTAGATTCTCGATATAGTTTGCTTATCTGAGAGACCTATAACCAGATGGATGTCAGTATGTAAACTAATCACATGGAGGTTCGACAAAGTAGGGCTGTTTAAGGTGCATGCCCATCCCAGCAAGGGTGTGAACAGCAATGCCTCTAGGGAAACCAGTCTCAAAAAAGGAGCGTCACATCAGAGAGTAAGCACCATGGGTTTCCATCGCTTGATGACACTTGCTGCCACGGCAGGGGTATGTACTGTCCCTCTGCTCT